CATCATATATATTTGCTAATCATCGGAATTCCCGCTAGCGTCGGTTGTCATTTCCTCCATGAAATGACAGTTTGGGGCGATGCAACGTTCTTGAGTTTTATGTCGGGCCTTCAGTCAATCTTGGAAGCAAATGAGCGTCTTAAGAGATTGTACGATCAATCTCGTTCTATAATTCGTTACGACATTGTCGACTTCGCTAAATTTTTTAAAGCAAAACAAGTGAAATAAATATCTAAGTTAGTAAACTAACTTAAGATAGTAGCTACCATTCACCTCCCCCTTACCCCTCACCTCACGACAGGGGCAGAAGAGAGCAAATTTTATCAAAATAAATCATAACTAGCATGGGATAGGCCCCGGTTTAGTATCAAAACACATCATCAAAAAGTATCCAATATTGGGTGACAAATCAATTAAGGCTCGGTCCCAATTAAATTCACACAAGTCCATATCCAAACACACGGTCCAGCAATTAGGCTTCCAGGCCAATTAAGGCACATCCACCTCGCTGCAACATCACGTAGCCCAGGCCAGCTGGCCCAGTTCTGAAATCTCCAAACGTCAGCATCGCATAAAAAAAGCATCCAACAGTAACAAAGCAATAACCAGCATGGGCTATGAGTCGGCAAAGGCTCGTTGTCGACTTCGCTAAATTCTTATTCTACGATTACCGTTGAAATCGGCATTGATAGCACGTGTTCGCCATCTTTGATAAAATTAGGAACAATCCTTCTTTCCCCTTCCACCATTTGAGAATGTCAAAGTCTTCCTCATTTTCATACTCACAAGGAAACATTAGATATAAATAAAGCTCGTTAATCAAGCTTTGTGTAACAACGATAGTTGATTTACTTTTTTTCGAAAGATTATCAATTGTAGATTTAAAAAGTGATTTTTCTTTAGATGAAGAAGTAGTTGATTTCGGGGGAGGAGGTACATTACCATAATGTCCATGCAACTCATTCAATAAATAATGAAATACTCTCTCTGTTCCTTATAACTTTGTCAACTCTCCTTTTTTGGTTGTCCCACAAACTTTGCTACTTTTTCTTTTAATCAATCAATTTGTGGCTCATGTTATTTCTCTCTCCTCTGCACAAATTTCTACCACAGTTTTTACTTTATTATTCTACGTGCCGGTCAAACATGGCAAACCTTTAAGGGACGGAGGGAGTAAATTATTAACCTCGTTGATCTGCGCGAGGATCTATGAGGTTATCTTCATCATACATAGGCAAGTCACCGTAGAAACAAGTGTAATAGCACTCTAAAAATGTTTGATAACTAGCAAGTTTGAAACAAGGATCAAGAACTAAGACAGTAGCATATATAGGCGGAATATATAGGCGGAATTAAGGCATAATATTTAAAAAACTTTTCTTTCATGAAATCACAAAAATAATGAACATAAGTGATTGAGATGGTGGATTTTGATGGAAGGTTGATCGGGAAGAGTGACGAGCTTGGCGGATGTCGCTCAGATGGAGCAGCGATTGAGGGAATTAGGCGAAGACGCCAAGAGCTCCGATTCTCATTCGTTCGAGTTGAAGGCGACCTAGATGATTGGCTTTTTGGGCTTGGCTTTCGGGTGGGGAAGTCTATGTGGTCTTCTGGGACTCAAACCCGTGCTTGGGGCGTCACAGTCACGTGGGCGGAAGATTTGGGGTCACGACCGTCTTTTTATGGTGGTGGTCGGCCAATCACGACTTGGTTCATTCTAGCATCACTTTGGTTTCTGCCAGCTCGGTTGTGATTAGGGATGGACTCGGGTCCGGGCCGGGTCCGGGCCGGGCCTAGGCCCGGGCGGGGCGGCGGGTCAGAAAAGGTGGACCCGGGACCGGCCCGGGTAACCACCGGGTCCGGGCCGGGCCCATTATATTTTGTTTTTGTTTTCCTCTTCCTAATTAACCCCCTCCCACCCCCAACCCCCCAAACCACCCCAAATGGCCCAAAATACCCAGCCCAACCCGAAAACTTAAAAAAATTGAAAAAAAGAAAACAAAATAGTTTTTGGCCCGAAACGGGCCCGGCCGGGTCGGGCCTTGTTTTGGGTAACCCGAGCCCGGACCGGAAAACCCACGAGCCGGGCCTACCCTGACGTGTCACTGACCGGGCCACCGGGTCGGTCCCGGGCCGGTTCCGGGTCGGGCCACCCGGCCCGAGTCCATCCCTAGTTGTGATTGTGTGATCCAACCATCGTCTTCGTCGTAAATCGGCTCTCAACATGAGCATCAAATGATGAATTTTATTTCTAACCGCAAGAGCTAATCTACGAGAATAGAGTATTTAGCCTGTGTAAAGGCCGTTTTCTTATTCTGAAGGCGGGTTCCCTTTATGGTATGTACAAAAAGTATTTATATACATAGAGCTACAATACCCTAAGGAGATATAACCGGTACATTCAATAGGTCTAATCATGATAAGACTCTTTTAACGTATCCCATTATTCTGCAGTTATTATTCCTTTTTGTCCATGTTTCTTCCGTTAATTCTCTGCCGTTGCCAGATAGCTATGCACAATAGATAGTCTACCACATAAGCCCTAGGGTGAGTCCGACCTCGCTAGAATCTCACCCAGACTTGAGGTCTGCTGGTCAGGACGGCCTAGCTGTGGGTAGAGTTGTAAAAGAATCAAATAATTTGTGCTCGATTCACAATTCAAATTCGTATAAGACAATTCGAATTCGGAAAATTCAAATACAAATACAAATAAGAATATTAAATTTGATTCGAGTTGTTATCAAATACAAATAAGAATATCAGTGTATTCGATTCAAATATTAATCAAATATATTCGATTAATAATAATGGTAATATTAATGTCAATATTAATAATAGTAGTAGTAATAACACTATAATAACTTTTAAAAGATAGCAATGCCCTCAAAGTGTAACCCATATATACACTTTTGCATACAAATTCCAAACCTATTTATAATAAATCAGAATATAAATACAAATACAAATCAATTTTTTTGGTTCAAACATCTTTCAAATACAATACAAATAATTATGTATTCAATTTGAAGAATAAAATTAGAGATGTTTGACTTTGATATATACAATTATCAACTTATTTCACACATTATAAGTATAATTTCTAATATGTGTGTGTTAGTGTTTATTTAAAAAAGTTTGAAATAGATTCATATTTATTAATCATAAAATTAATTCACTTTAGTATATTGTGTACCATCTAAAAATGCATTGATCCATTAAACTTAAATTCAAAAACACATATTAAGTCATAGCATGCATTTACAACATAAAAAATATGGAATATAAAAAAGTTATTTTAGAGTGATATTTGATTAAAATTTAACTTATGCTCAAATCGATTCAATATTCATATATGATTCGTTAACTATTCGTATTTTTAAACAAATACAAATACAAATCAAAATTAATATTCGTTTCATATTTAAATTCGAATTCGTATTCGAAAAAATTAAACAAATACGAATACAAAATCTCATTATTCGACTCGATTTGATTCGTATACAACCCTAGCTGTGGGTTTTTTTCACGAGTCACGGTCCTTGTTAGGCCTTATGGCTCTTATTCATTAATCCCGATAAATGGGCTTGATTTATTGATCCCGTGTGATGGGCTTCGCACATAATCCGTACTTGGGCCACGATTACGACCCATTGTACCATCATCATTATAAATTTATAATGATTAAAGATATAATTAAAGAGTAGATAATAATTTATTTATTTATTATACAATTGAAAATTAGAGATTGATTTATTTGTTTTGTTGACATGTAAGAATGAATTGAAAATTTCATTTGAATTTTGAAATTGGGATTAATTATTAGTTTTATGTACAACAATTGTTTTTGTCTTATTAGTTTTTTAATTTTATAGAGGTATTTTAATTCATACCAAAATTGAAAAGGTTTTTTAGAATGATATTGAACATTTGAACATATTGCCAAGAAAGGAAAATGAAATGAATATTTACTTAGTATGAAATTGAGCTTGTGTTTGGTTCGATAGATTTTCGGTGTTCAATTTTAACACACGTTAAACATGCTCGAATAGTCGAATGTAGAAGTTTAGACTATATTCATTAATAGATTCATGTTCAAATTATTCAATAAATACTCAATTCTTCTATAATCATTTAAAAATATATAAAATTGCATTGAAAACGTTTAAATTTTAAAATATACTCTGTATATAACTTATTCCTATGATTTGTAAGTAAACGATAGGCTCGAGTCCGAATCAAACCAAACATCACTATGTTCAAACTGGACTTGAATAATTATTCAAACCTTGAGCTAAACCTTGTTTGTTTAGTAACAATTTTTTTAATGCTTAACCCACATCACATCTCAATCCTTGATCCGCCCCTGAATGAAATGCTTGTGGTCAGCAATTGACCTCGATATCATTTGGGTCTTAAAAACATGCTTGCCAAGTTGTGCACCTAAAAGTCGATTGCCACTACACAATTCTAGATCTTTTCACCACGACATCACGTTCTTGCTTCTCTCCGTTGAGTGTTGACGTCACAACTTTTGAAGTCCCTACATGACTTCGCTAGTTTGTTTCACTCTCGCAGAAGGCTAAGTTGTCATATAACTTGTAAGTCTTCTAATTCTAATTTTCTTTAGTTTTTAAGAGAAGGGGCAAATTATTTAGCAATCAAATCCTTTTACCTGCTGGTGCCGATAATTTTTCATCTTCTTACTTGCACCAACAAGTAAAAAAGAATTTGATTGCATAATTTTCAACTAATTGAGGAGTGTATCAACAACTTTTTCAGTGAAGGAGCTTGATGGCAAAACGTAAATAGTTCAAGGGCTTATTCACCTCTTTTCTCAATTTTTAATTGGGTTAGTACGTTAGTTTGACAATTCAACTAATTAAGTTTAATCAATCCTTCACATAAATTTTCTCTTTTTGCTATCCTACTACCCACTTTTCTCTTTCAAAAGTAAGCATTAAAATTTTCATTTGTTCAATCGTTCCACTTTTTTAAAAGAGATAGACTTCAATTATATCATCATCAGAAACTCGCAGAAGTACAATAGAGCCAAGTTGTGCCAAAAAGCACAACAATTAACTAACCATATCCTATTGTGAACAAAAGAAAGGAATGGTTCCTCAAAACATCCACTAGACGAGTGCACCACATCGCAGTTATAATCCAAAAATCAAAACCAACAAGAAAAAACCTAAACTAGTAGTCTGAAGATAAGCTGAAAATGAAATAAGCATAATTGGAACCTTAAAATTATTCAACCGAATCTTCAATGTTGTTACGTCCGGTAGAAGAAGATCCTCCTTCCCCAAACTTAGTAGGCCTATAGTGATCACAAAGCCCGTCTTAAATTTGTAACTAATTGATAGAACACAACCAGATCACAGAAAGAATAGAAGAGAATTATGAGGAAATAACCAACAAATTTATTGAGATGATCAAGCAACCAAGGCCGAAGCCCGCAAAAGAAAGAGACAATAAATCTCTAACTTCCCAGTCCTGACAACTTCCGTCATAACAGCCTCCTTACTAACTCCCCCTTCTCATCTATTTATACTAGAGACCTAGAGTACTCCCAGACCTTCATTACTACTATTATTATTATTACTACTATTACTAGTCTAATAAGTGGGTTCCTATCAATACTTTCTCCCTAAACAACCACCTTGTCCTCAAAGTGGGGAGATAGGAACCTAGCTTGGAATTCAGCTTCCTCCTGGTGCCTCTCCCCTCCCAGTACTTCGCTGGTTGCGGTGTCAGATGTTCCCATACTTCTAGTCCTCTAGATGAAGAACTTTTGTCCAGCCTGAGTATAACATGTGTCTCTGACTTCATCCCATTTCTTGAGTGAAATTTCACACTCACTGATTTCTGGAATAGGAGCTTCATTACTTGAACCTTCATCGTCACTTGCTCAGCCCCATATTTCTCTAATATTCTCACAGGTTCTTCAAGCATCCCATTATTGCCATGAGTTTGGATATTTTCCGGCTTGTTTAGTTCTTCACATCCATACGATAGATATAAAAGTGACCAACAGTCATCTTTCCTAACTTCTTCACCATTCAAATGGATTACTTGTTGAAGAAAGGACAATGTAGCTTTGACCAGGTCAAATGGTGTTGGTGGCTTGCATCTATAGCAGTTTGACAAAATCCAGGTTGTGGCTTCACCAGCAATAATTCCCCAAACCCAAACTTGATAGGCCTGAATGACTGAGAGAAGCTGAGAAATTGAAAGCTCAGTCCTGTAGTGTTTTATCCTTATCTGGGGATTCCTAGTAACAACATCCTTCAGCAGGGCAGTAGCACTCCCTACCTCCCTACAACGCTAGGCTCACCAGAAAACATATCCTGAGGTGGAGTAAGAGCAGGCACTCGGGTAGCGTACGCCCAACTATTTTCAAGAATATCTGTAAGCCTCTTGCAACCGGTCATCCCTGAAGTCCAGCACTTAATGGTCCAATCAATTTCCCTCTTCGACCATAGCCTTCCATTAGCATCCTTCTCAACTGGTCTCGCTTGTACACCCTGCACATAGGCTTGCCACCCCAAGGCATTTCCAATTAATATTACAAAGTCAGTTTCAGCATTGATTTTGACTGATATGAATTCGGTTATCTCTCTCTTATCCATGTTTTCTGAATCGTTATTTGCTGCCGCCATGATCTTTTCATAGTGATTGATCTTGTTCAATTCTATCATCATTCCAACATCAAAATAACCAAGAGGTTCATCCTTAACAGCAAACTCGGGAGGTTTCATAACTCCCCTACACAAATAAACTGTATGTCCCATGTCTGTAGGTTGACTAACATCCTCTTCAGGGTCTGATTCCCGAGCTGATGGTGCAACCCGCTTTAATTTGGTGTCCCTTTTTGTTGGTAGAGTCCCCTGGGGTCCCTTTCCTGATGCGAGTAGGTCGAAGGTTCTGGAAGCGGATGACGCTGACGCAAGGTGAGGAACTAGTAGCGATTGTGAACTGAAACTGTAAGACGCTGCTAGCGACTGAGAAGAGACCGGCGGATTATGTGGATTACCTCGAGAGTGCAAAGACTTCTCGCTAGCAGCTGGAGTTCGTCGCCTGTTAGTTCACGACTCAGTATGCGAACTGGGGAACGATTTGCGATGCGAAGAATGATGCGCAAAGTCCGACGTATGCGATCTGCTTCCCGATCGACGTTTACCTCGCTCCACCAAGGTCGCTAGCGTAGCTCGTATCTCTGCTATACTCGCCGCCATAGCTACCTTAGCTGTAACTAATTCCTGTTGATTTCTCTCCAGTTCGTTCAATCGTTTTTCCATCCTAGCGCACGTAGAGATCACCCAACGAGCAACGTGCTCTGATACCACTGATAGAACACAACCAGATCACAGAAAGAATAGAAGAGAATTATGAGGAAATAACCAACAAATTTATTGAGATGATCAAGCAACCAAGGCCGAAGCCCCCAAAAGAAAGAGACAATAAATCTCTAACTTCCCAATCCTGACAACTTCCGTCATAACAGCCTCCTTAGTAACTCCCCCTTCTCATCTATTTATACTAGAGACCTAGAGTACTCTCAGACCTTCATTACTATTATTATTATTATTACTACTATTACTAGTCTAATAAGTGGGTTCCTATCAATAGAACACAACCAGATCATACATCTACATACAACTGATACTACCTCCGTCCCGAAAAGGTTCGCTATATTGACTTTTCTTGGTCAATGATGACAAACTTTGATCGATGATTTTAATTATTAAATTTACATATACTTTATAAATTTTATACTTTTATGAAAATATTTTGAATAAAGAACATTTTGATATAACTTTCATATTCAAAATAGTTTTGTATTAAAAATTATAATTGGTCAAAGTTGATTGTCAATGATCTAGAAAAGTCAATTTGTGGAACCTTTTCTGGACGGAGAGAGTACAAGCGTATTTTCCGCCTACTTCACTCACTTCTGTGCATCTTTTGCTGCAATTGGTCTCCATTGGTCTTTGCCCATTGGTCTCCATTGGTCTTTGCCCGCGACAGGTATCAAAAAGATAATTTTTTCTTTATTTTACCTGGTTTAAAGCTGCAGACGATTTCACAGAACAAATAAAACCTATGACCAGCACAAGTACAACTCAATCAGATAACTCTAATCGCTGGTGTTTGGCTGTTTCTATTAGTGCATGCATAAACTTTTCAGGTTCACAAATGTGCGGATTCTTTTGGGCTGCATGTGCCAGGAATGGTAGCTTTCTTAGTGATCTTCCGCTCAAACCCTGAAAGAAGTAACTAGTTAGTTTCTACATCACACGTTCCCTAATTTCTTGGTTAGCGATGGAAATATTACTAGGCCTGAAATGGGCAGAAAACAACTGCTGTCCATTGGATTTGGCACCTGTCTTTTTCAATATGACCGTCTTGCTTCTCAATCTATTTTCATTCAATTTACATTCCAAACGAATCATTATATGCCGGACTTCAATTACCTAGTATATAGAATAATATAAGTGAAAATAGATTGTGCTTTGAGACCCCCTCCACCCCCAGTTACTTTCTACTTTTGTTGTGTTATACACTCATGAACCACCTCTTTCAACTCCAAAACATATTTGCTTTTTCAAAAAGAAAATGTAGGATGGCTAAAAGGCCATTTAGTAAGAGTTGTTGGAGTTAAATGGCTAAATCAGCTGAATTTTCTGGAATGAAAAGCATATGGTGCATCCGTTTCCGCCAAATAAGCCAGTCAACAGCTATTCATTCAGCTTACGCACATTATTCTGGTGAAATGTAGACTAAGCAAAAAAAACACAGAACTGGCTACTAAAGGAACCTCAGTCGCACTATCAAAAAGTAGGTTGTTCATGTTGAAAAAAGTGTCAAATCCAGTGGACAAAAAGGTGCTGAGCCAGAGGTAAAAAGGAATTTCATTTAGTTCACCCTATAAGTGGAGAAGAGGGTAAGTAGAATCTTCATTTATTTTATATTAAAAAGTTCAAATCGACACTCCTGGATAATAAAATAAATGGTCAAAATATTAAACACATGGAGAGTTATGGTGAATAAAATAAAACTCGGTAAAATGGTTCAACTGCACAGCTGAAAAGTACATGGTCATAGTGAAAAGAAAATGTCAAACCCAATGCCAAAAAGAGTGTTAAGCCTGCCCAAAGTTTATATACCTCACATGCTTCAGCAGCATCAAGCAGCAGTTTGGAAAGGTGGGATTGTGGTTGACACTCTGGTGTCACTGATTCGCCAATGTGGTCTCTCAAACTAGAAAAGCTCGGGAAAACGAGCATATTGGCGCCCTACACACGACTAACAGTGTTGGTATATCAAGAGTATATTCCACCAGACCACCACAACTATTTCACACTAAGATGTACTCCCTTCATTTCTATTTATGTCGTGACGACATTACCCCAGTGCCACAAGGTTCTCATCTACGGTGGGGTAAGGGGCGTCGGATGTATGCAGTTTTAGCACTACACTAAAGCACAGAGAGATTGTTTTATAATAAAGAAGCGCAGACCGTTTGGTGAGCCATTTTGCTTTATTCCATCATATCCCAAGCCAAAATATAGCGATGCTTTGACTCCATTGGAAATGATGGAAATTCTATTTATATGTCTTCATCGACCAAAATTGCGTGTTCCTTTTAATCCATCCTTTTGTGACGCTGATGCATACTGTATTCTTTCCAGATTTTAAGCTAAACATATGAATAGGTAGTAACTACAAAGTAATTAGTCCATATTCAAAAGGCAATTTAGGTAAATAAATAAAAAACTGTTTCTGTTATCACTCCAATGAATTTTCTTAAACTGTATGATTTGATCAATAAAGACAGATAAATAGGACAAGCCAAAATGCAATGGAGGTGGCATTGAAATTGCAGATCACTAAGAAATTACCAGCATGGGTGAATTTGACAGTATTCCAGCTCTTAAGAGTTCTTGCAAGCAAGACCTTAGTATCTCATAGCGTGCTTGAAGCGTTGGGGGTCCCACATACGCTTTAATATCAGCTCGATCCACAAAAGCTATATCTGAGATTGAAATGAAATACAGACATATAGTTTGAATCAAATGAGAATGTGATCTAAGGGGAAAAATGGGAATAACTCTGGTGCATTAGATTTAAGAATTGTGCAGTGTGAAATATAAAAACTTACTATCATGAATCAGAAAAAGTGGAATTTTTGTAGATGAATTAAACGTTTCTGCTATTTGAACTATGCATTATCTTAACTATACATGTGCACCGCCATATACAAAATGTGCATCGTTTCATGTCATTAAGAGTATATATATATATATATATACACACACACACACATGTGTGCGTGTTTACGCATGTATATATAGTGGAGAATCACTACAACAATAAATCACAAAGAGTTTTCTCAATTTTCAACTCGATTTTCATCATGGGTCATCCGAAAACAATTTTTGTGTGCTTTAGTAGAGGGGTAAGGTTGCGTACATCTGACCTTATTACCCCACCGTAGGTGGGGAGCCTTTGTGGCATTGGGGTAATGTGGTTGTTGTTTGTTGTTGCATTGACATTTACTAAAATGTGTTCCAAACATGAAAATCACAATAGCAAAACAATGATAGATGTTACACTTTGTATAGGCAGTATAGCATCACCCGTTGAATAAAATGAGACACCAAATATAATTCCATGGTTGCTGTAAGTGGATAAGAGACATTTTTTCCAAACTATAAACTCCCTTAGTCCCTAAAAAGAATCATCTTGATAGAGTGCAACTTTTCATTTGTCAACACAAACAAGGTACAAGCTTTTACATATTATGAATGGTCATTTATACTCATAAAACTTATTTCCTAGGATTTTTTGCAGTAAGTAAATACACCTGCTTGTTACTTGTCTTTACACAAATTTTACTTTGTATCAAAGTTGTTTTTATAACAGGACTCTTTTTAACAAAAAATATCTAAAAATGAAAAGTAATGACATTTGTGTAATAGTGTTGGGGGCAGAAGGTGTAATAGTTTATGATAACAAATTAATAAAATTATCATATATTGAAAATATTTCCATCATTTGCAATATAGCCAAAGATTCACAATTTTTTGTAACGGAATATGATGGAATAAAGCAAAATGGTTCACTAAACTGTCTGCACTTTTTTGTTATGAAACAAAAGTCAGTCCATGCACTTTTCAACACAATTTTCACTATAAGTCATCAGAAAACAGTCTCTTTGTGCTTTAGTACAGGGGTAAGGTTGCGTACATCCGACTCCCTCTTACTCCACCGTAGGTGGGAGCCTTTGCGGAACTGGGGTAATGATGATGATCATATATTGAAAATATTAGGACCCCTACATGTCTATTATTAAAATGTGTAATGTTATGCTAGTACATACCATGTGTGTGAGTTACATAATGTGCATAGCCCTCTACAATTCCCTCTATTATTTACATCCACCATTTGTAGTATATATGTAAGATGCATTTAAGTATGTAACGGAAGCAGGTGAACAAAAGTGAAGTATTATTTCTTCTACATGAAATCTAGTACCCTCAATATCAGTTTCTATATTTATTATTGATTCGTGATTTTAACATCATAGAATATAAAATGTAGCCAACAACTTAGTGCCAAATGTTATTTGAGGTCTACCAATAGCTGCAGTGATATTGGATGTCGTCAGTATAATGACATTTGGTGATGATTTTAACTTGTCAAGCTGAGTTAAGAGCGCATTCACCACCTGAAAATTTAGTTATGTGCCAACGACTCAATTCATGCAACATGATTGAAAAGCACATAGATATTATTAGATAAGCTGTAATGTAATCAAAATTGTAGTACACAATAATATGTATACATTTGATTAAAAGTTGCATTACATTTCACTACGTCTTACCAAACTGCACCTTATTGTTTTAAAACTGAAGGCCTCTCTGAGCTACAAGATAATCATACCCGTATAGAATCCGAAGGTTCAGAACCAGAAAAGGCAACTTTTCTAGCAGCAGCAAGGCTTTCAACTTCATCTGAAAAGTAGTGAACCTTACAATTAAACACATTTATAAGAAATGTGCAAGAAGCATGAAGACAACAATCAAAGTTTCTTACCAATCAATACAAATACAAGATTACTTTCATCCTCTACCATTTCTTGAATCTTGGAAAACATTTTAGCAACCTGCAACAATAATTTAACAGAATGATCGAATATGAAAAAGATTTACAGGAATTTGTAAAAATAACGTTATGAAGAATATTACTAGTAAAAATAAGCTGGAGGTTCATGTTACTTAACTTCAAAGGATTTATGCTGGCAGCATAGCTAATATATTGGACAAATCCCAAATTACAAATGACATATGTGGTGCATAGTCAGAAAAATAATTGATGCTTTATATTGATTCCATGAATGTCACAGCGGCTAGGCAAAGCAAGGCACAGCACCAGCCAACCGCCTTATCGCCTAGGCGATACCACCTGCCTAGGCGACAAGTGGCACCATTTTATGAAATACTCCCTCTGTCCCGCTAAGATTGTCTCATTTTACCTTTCCGGTCCGTCCCACTAAGATTGTTCCATACCAAATTTGGTAAAATTTGTGTGGCTCTAAATCATTCTTACTTTATTCTTACTTTATCAATTCAATATCAACCACATAAACCACTTTTTATTGGTTTGCGTGTCACTCCCTCTTGTCCCATTGTCGGGGGGATGGAGGGAGTATACATATATCCCTAATAATATATATTATATAAACCACATTAAGCATATATATTATATATATAATATAAATTAAAATATATATTTACTTCATTACTTATTATTCAAACAAAAAATTTAACAATTCAAAACAAGTGTTTGACATTCATCTCAAATATCGGTGTCCAGAACATTTAAAGCCCATTGGGTAACAATAAAATAGGATGAATCGACTGAATCAGCTGAAATTAGTGAAGTTTTGGCTTAAGTGGCTGAATTTGTTGTATTATGAAAAATTGTATTTAAAATATATATTATTACTAAAATAAAGAAACAATTATATGAAAAATAGCTAAAATGATCATCCATAGTTTCTTCAGCCAATTCAGCCACAAAAGCAACTTCAACCTTACTTATTTTTATTATTATACAATCTAGTGCACGAAATAAAAACTTACATATTTAGTGAAAATATTGGCTGATAAGGCTGATCAGACAAAAAAGAGTTAGCAAACGGGCCCTTAGACTGCAAATTATATACCCCCTCCATCCCAAATTGATATATAAAGTCAACATTTTTTTGTCAATTAATGTTAAAGTTAAATCTTTCCTAGTGATAATTAATTCAATTTTAATGATTAAAATTCACATATTCAGAACAACAACAACAACATCCAAGTCTTAATCCCAAAAGGATTTAGGGTCGGCTAACATGTATCGATCAACGATATCAGTGCTAAAAAGAAAAGAAAGATAAGGAAAATTAAAGTAAGATAAAATGGATAAAATAAAAATAAATATGAGATAACAATAACATAAGAATATAAGAAAGATAAAAGATAAAAAGATAAAAAAGCATAAAAAAGAGGACATAATAAAAATAACATAAGCACATAAAAAGATAATGAAGATAAACGATAAAAAGATAGAGAGAAAAGATAGAAAAGAGATCACTCGTCCACATGAATGTGTGCCCTCCATATTGTTCTCTCCAAAGTCATACTCTCGTCCAACCTAAGAAGACGCATATTGGTTCTGATTCCTCTAATCCAACTTGTTTGGGTCTTCCTCTCCCTCTTCTCTCTGCCTCTTCTTCTCACCTCTCAAGTCGTCTAACAGGTGCATCACTCGGTCTTCTACACGCATGACCAAACCACCGCAAACGAGACTCCAACATCTTATCTTCTATAGGTGCTACTCTCACCTTAAGCGGTCTTTTCTAGTATATGTCCACACATCCAACGCAACATAAACATCTATGTCAAACTCATCTTTTGAATGTGACATTATTTCACTGCTCAACACTCTACGTCATACATTAATGCAAGCCTAATTGTTGGTCGATAAAATTTATGCTTCAATCTAGTCAGCATATCTCGATCGCATAGAAATCCTGATGTACTCTTCCATTTCATCCATCCAGCTCTAATTCTATGGGATACATCTCCATCTCATTTGACATCCTTCTGAATTATGGAGCCTAAGTAACGGAACATATCACACACTGGTATCTCCTTACCATCAAGAGAAATCTCACTGTTACTACTACTTCTACCATCACCAAACTTGCACTCCATATACTCGGTCTTGCTTCGCCTCGATCTGAAACCCGTGGTCTCATCAATCAATACAATATCGTTAGCAAATATAATGCACCACGGTATATCATCCATGACTATAGCAAGTAAGAAAAGACTCAAAGCCGATCCACATGCACTCCGATAGTAATAAGAAGCTCTGCAGTCCTCCCTATACTAATATGGACATTTGTAGAAAAAGCTTCATACATATCCATGATGATACTAATATACTTACATGATATGCCTTTGCTAGTTAAGGCCCACGAAAAGACTTCTCGAGGTACCCTATCATATGCATTTTCTAAGTCAATGAACACCAAATGCAGATCCTTTTTAGTCTATACATTTCTCCACAACTTGTTTAAGAAGGTGAATGACCTCAGTTGTTGAGCGTTCAGGCATAAAACCAAACTGATTCTTCGAAATTTTCACATTTTTTCGAAGTCTTTGCTCAACCACTCGCTCCCAAATTTCATGGTGTGACTCATAAGCTTAATCCCATGATAGTTGGCACATTCTTGTACATCACCCTTATTTTTAAATAGAGGAATGAGAGTATTCTTCTGCCAACTCACTGGCATTTTGTTGTTTCTCCAAATTATGTTGAAGAAATGTGTTAGTCACTCAATGCCTTTCTCTCCCAAACTTCTATAAGCCTCGATCGGTATGCCATCTGGACCCACTGCTTTCTTCCTCCCTGTCTTTCTCAGAACCTCTTTAACTTATGTTGTTTGGATCCTTCTCATAACGTCCCAATTTACCACACTCTGGTATAGTAAGATCATCAATACCTTGCGTTTTATTCCCGTTGGACAAGTTATCAGAGTATGACTTCCACCTCTCTTTTATTTCCTCGTCCTCCATTAGTACCCTTTGATCGACATCCTTCACACACTTAACTTTTCCGATATCTTGAGTCTTACGATCATGAAGGCGAGCAAGTCTGAATATATCTTTTTCTCCTGCCTTAGAGTCTGATTTGACATACAATTCTTTGTTCACTTTCCCTCTTGATTCCTTTACAGCTTTCTTTGTTTTTCTTCTAACCTCTTTGTACTCCTCTATGTTCTCATCGCTCTAACTTTTACCCAACTTTTTGTTGCATTCCTTTTTTTTTATTACTTGTTTCACCTCATCATTTGACATGTTACCAGACAAGTCGGACATCCCTAATATTAATTATAACAAGGACATCTCGATAGTCTATAAAAGGAGGGGGCAAAAGGGTGAATGAGACAGCAGGAGGTAGTGGGAATAAAATAACAGAATCGCTGAGGTGGCAGATCAGTCGTGGATGAAGAATACAGCCAAAGGAAGGAGGGAAGAGAAGGCAGGCTGGTAGTCAGTTGGATCTGGGCAGGAGAGATAGACACTCGAAATTGTCTAATTATCATTTTATACTTTTCAGCACTTCTTATTTCAGCTGTAATCGCCAAATTTCTGATTATTTTATCAGAATCTGTTATTAATAAACATATACTATCGTATTCAACTGGACTGTGGTGTTCTCTATCTTCATTCCATCAAGATGTGTCCTTTTATAGTGGCAAACATCCTTTAGATTCTCCGAGTATCTCATTTGACACTTTGTTAATGGTGGACTCCATTGATAACCACACATTATTCACATGTGCATGATTATCAATACACCAAACATGTTCCTCCAACATTTTGTGTGCAAAATTTTGTTGGAGATCCCCTTCGGACCTCCACCACTTTATCTTTGACTTCACTTGTAATTTGGCTTCACTTTATAAAAAGATGATCATTTTAACTATTTTTTCATATAATTTTTTATTTATTATATTAATAAAAAATATTTTAAGTATAATTCTTTTCTAAATCGGTCAATCCAACCACTTCAGCCGGAGCTCTATAAATTTACACAGAATCAGCCAATTCACTCAATTTCAATGTTACCAAACGGGCTCAAAATATGTAGTCTAGATGGATATAACTATTTGACACTAAAAAAGACAATAAAAACAGAGGGGTGCTCTGGGCTTAGGGACGGAAAGAAAAGAACAGAGGTTGGACTTAGCTACAAAGAAAGAGAGGAATTTTGTTAATCCAGAACCTAAAAGATAAAATGTATCGGTATAGTAAAGAATAAGGAATAAAAGAGCTTTTGAATATTATTCTGCACATTGAATTTCATTGCAAGAAGTGCAATTTATACAAAGACTAACTATGTCTATATGGTAAGAAATAATGCTCTCATAAATGAAAAAGATATGTAACGGTTAGCAATATTAAATTACATTATTATGAATTAAATATAATTTATTTATTTCCTTCAATATATAGGACCTGAATAATGAAAAACTATCAATCTAGGACCCGAATGGTTAAAAACTATCAATTTAGGACCTAAGTTTTCATAAATTTTATTTTTTTTAAAAATAAAGAAATAATATTTAGTTTTATTAAACTAACAAACTTTTGTGAATAAAAATTCATCAAATATTAGCAATGGAATTAATAAAAAATTAAATAAATCAAAACCTATATGAAATGTTAGATCCTAGTCTCCTAAATGGATAGTTTTTTATCCCATACATTTCATCCCAGTCGTCCCAGCAAAATGCCTGTAGGATGCTTCAGGCGAGTCGATTGAGCATGGCGGTTCTCCTCCATCGCCTGGACGCTTAGGCTACGCCGTGATAACACTGATTGATTCCAGCTTCTCAAGTTAATTATTATTAAATCGTAGTCGGGCGAGAATATTAATTTACAATATGCTACGTATATGTTACACTTTATCTATATGTCATGGCAAAGAGTATGAATATGAGGTATGGTCATGGTTTACATTTATGCATTGCTCTGTTCGAATTTTTTTCCGGTGTATAAAAAGTCGCTCTGCTCGAATTTACTAATAGAGTATTGGTAATAATCCAGAATAATACCAAACCACCTAGAAAAGATCTGATTAAACACTTTCATAATAGATGCACAATGTACTTGTAAGATACTGCGGAGTAAAAAAGTTCAGCTTGATCTCAGAATGGGACAAAAAACTTTTAAGAACCAATCCAAACATTAAAGTCCAAATCCGAATAATAGTTTATGAGTATTTATTTATCAACTAATTCATGCTTCCGGAATTCATTCAAACTTACATGACTAAAAATGCTAGAAGAGATTCAGATGAAGAATGCCAAGTCGGTAAATAGCAAGCCTAAGGCCTCCTGACATAAGAACATGAAGATAACCCCCACTTTAACGGCATCTACCTCAATGGCAGAAGTGTGTGGGAATTCATCCCACACAGCCGGGATTCGAATTGTATGAAAAACTTGACGACAATTAGAGAAAAAATTAGGACTTGTTTTAATAATCTAAATGACACCATAATGGGATTAACCTCTAGATCCATTAATGGTAAAACTTTTAAGAACTAAAGGAACGAATAGGGTGTGGGTGAGTTTCATTTGGAAATCTTATATCCCTCCTAAATTATCTTTTACTACTTGGCTTGCGTTTAGAAACCGGCTACCTACTCAAGATAGCCTAGGTTATATGCACAGTCAATAGGTGTGACCTTTGTAAGGGTGACTTGGAGATAATGTCACACCTCTTTTTTCTTTGCCCTTTTGCGTGCAGGGTATGGGAAAAGATCACGGATTGGATGGGCTTAGAGCACCAAATGACCACGCTGCAGAGCTCGGTCAAATGGATACTAATGAAATACAAAGGATCAACCTTGAAGGCAAAGGCGGTACGATTGGCTTTCTGTGCCACGGCATATCACATATGGCAGGCTAGGAACGCTTGCAGATTTGATGGAAACACCAAGACGGAAAGTGAGGTCGTTGCAAAGATAAAACATGTGGTATATAAGATACTATTTTCTATATACCCACATGACATGATGATAGAGCCTAGTAATTCCCACTCTGAATTGTAGAGAATCAGTAAGAAATTGATCAAGAAAGAGATCAAGAAGAGTTTATTGATGAAGAAGAAAAGTATGGAACGTATATAAGCACAGGACGATTCGAGATGCCCAGTCTCCAAGTCTAGCCAAATTCAACTGAATATTTGCCTGCCTCATTTGCCTACCATCCCTTTCTATTTATAGTACAAGCTCACTTATTATTATCTAATTAATAGGCCCACTTATTATTATCTCTAATAATAGGCCCATTCCTATCAAATAATAGGCCCATTCCTATCACTACTCCCCCCCTAAACAACCACCTTGTCCTCAAGGTGGGTGATAGGAATCAGCCATGAGCTTCCACTTCAACTTTATTCTTGCACCTCTTCCCTCCCAGTACTTGACTGGTTGCTGGATTAAGATCTTCCCTGCTTGAATCTTCCAATTGCTAACGACTCTTGCCTCATAATATGACTCAAGCTCTTGGATTCAGTTGCTCCACACCTTGAAGTTGTAGTATCTGACATGAAATATTCCCTGGGACTAATAGTATCAGCAGGAACATCAATTAACTGATCAATAACAATGGCAGATTCAATTTCATAATTATTAAAGGAAGTTTTCCAATAGGAATCCTGTAATCCAGAATTGCTAGGTGCAAACAATGACATGAACGGTGCAGAACCTTCTGCTGTTTCGTATATGGATAACAATCTGGTATATGGAAACTCTGCAATATACTCTTTGCCTTTTGGACAGCCTGACTTACAAATATCATCATCTTTAATCAAATATTTGGAAGAGCCTCTTAGTAGGACAGTCATAGAAACCGGATTTCCATTATAAATCACCCAGTTAGGACCAACAACAAGAGGTCCCCTATAGACTACACCCAATGTATCATCTTTCTTGTCATTTGATCCTTTTGTCACCAAATATCATCTTAAACTGATAGGCATAGACTACACCTCCATCTGAAATACATATACAAACTACTGGCTTTTCCGTAACATTTTACTAATCCTACTCCCAATCCTTTTTGGATAGATTTCATAGAATTCGTACTATCAATTTTGAAACCCTCAGTCTGCTTCTGCCCTTCCAACATTCCCTTTGATGAAGGATTGTACACCATATCTATTGGTACACCCAAATCCAGTTCATGAACTCTACCCAAATCTAGATTATTTGATGAATCAATGTTTTCTGCCCCTTCCGGAATATCATCCTTAGTCTCCAATTCTTGAACTGAAGATGTAGACAGTGTTGGCTTCAACTCAATGTTCTGTGTAGTTGGTGGATTTTCAAGCAAAGAATGTTGCGCCTGATGAGAGACGTCCAGCGAAGATGAGTGGTGATAGTCCGCGAGTGAAGAAGTCTGCGATCTTGGAGAAACGGCTGGAGATGACACTTTCGAACTGAGAAAGGCCGTTGTTGACCGCTAAGAACTGACATAATGAGTTCGTGAGTACGAACTGGCAGATAGGGTTCGCGACTGCGAACTGATATTTTTTTCTTGCGATACAATTTGCGAACTGGGAGTAAAGACTTGCGATGAAGATGGTTGAGGATAAACAGTTCGCGACGAAGCCTTAGAACTGGAAGCCGATACTGAAGCCTGCGAACTGAGAGGTGTTGTTGGCGAGGATTTCTGCGATCTGAAAGAATAGTCCAGCGACGAAACCAGAGAACCGGAAGAAGTTTCTGGCGATTGAGAAGAAAACTGCTCAGTTAGCGACAATCTGGAAGAATTTGTTCGCATCTGCGAACTGTGAGACGACGAGGATTGCGAAGACCTCTGCGGACGACTGTGAGAAACGGATCGCGATGATGAACTTTTGGAAACTGCTATCGACGAAGATTGCGAACTGCAAGAAGTTGTTGACGTCCACGATTGCCTTCTAGTTTGGAGTTGTTCGTTCACCGCTGCTAGCCGTCTGGCGATATTATCCAACGTTGACTTCATCTCCTGTTGATTTCGCTCCAGCGATTCCATTCGTTTTTCCATTTTTCCTCTCGTTCTAACCATTCACGATTCGAAAAGAGAAATTTCTGGAATCAATGTAACTTCTCCGATCAATGCTACAGTCATCAGGAGCGTAATGCTCTGATACCAATGATAGAGTCTGGTAATTCCCACTCTGAATTGTAGAGAATCAGTAAGAAATTGATCAAGAAAGAGATCAAGAAGAGTTTATTGATGAAGAAGAAAAGTATGGAACGTATATAAGCACAGGAAGATTCGAGATGCCCAGTCGCCAAGTCTAGCCAAATTCAACTGAATATTTGCGTGCCTCATTTGCCTACCCTCCCTTTCTATTTATAGTACAAGCTTACTTATTATTATCTCTAATAATAGGCCCATTCCTATCAAATAATAGGCCCATTCCTATCACATGATCAAATTTTGAATGCCACGGCATTGATTGATGTTTTGATTTGAACTTTGGGTGTGTGCATTCTTGGCAACACCTTGTAATATGGACATCGTTTTGAACTTTATGATTGGGGTGTGCCAGCTATGTGCCACACCAATCTGATTTTGTTAGTTTTTTTATTGGCTCAACTATACTACACTTGGGCCTTGCGTAGAATAGATCGATATAAAACCTTCTCAACCTCCATCATGGGGGTGGGGGGAGGTTTTAGGAGATCTTTAGAACACGTGTACATTGTTAAAGTTTTCTGGGTGTTAATATATATTTACATTTCATCTAAAAAATTTAGATAACTCCCACTAGTAGAAGTGAAAAGTAATTCGAGTTGGTATTAGACTATCTGTGTTTCACCCCTCTGTTGCACTTTAAATCGAGGCTTGGTAATTATTTCAGAGTACTCATTAGCTGATTTAATGATGTATAATCAGAGTTTTGTTTCTTACTGTTTTCACACCATAAAAGAAATAAGAAAAATATCTAGAACAGTTACTGCTAGAAATAAGAAATAAGAAGTTCTTGCTGACTAAAGAACATAATATTTAAGCATGAAAACCTACTAGTGGCAAACAAGAAATATATTGGCACAAACATAAAGAGCCTGAGTTAAACGGTTGATATACGTCAAAACTATTCTGTGTACTTACCAACTTGCCGCTTTCAGAAAACCACTTACTAAACAAGGAGTGTGCATTAACTTCTATCAATTGACATTGTGGATATCTGAGTTTGTAAGGCATAGGACATCGTTAAATGAAATCTTAAATACTAAAACAAGTATCAGAAAAGGAAATCAATAACAATGCACTGACCTAGAGTTAAATCGAATGGAAAGTTTGTGTGCCAATGCTTTACACAAAGATGTCTTGCCTGTTCCTGGAGGTCCATGAAGAAGAACAATTCTGCATGCCATTTCAAAGGAGATGAATAAAACACTAAATTTGTGCTTGCTGCTTGCATATTGAGGAATGAGGACAGAAGACCAGGTATTTTGTTAAGTTTACTTTAACCGGAAAAAAATATAATTTTGATTGTGTTAAGTTGTTATTGTAATTGTTACTACTACTAGTACTACTACTATTAGTTTACCTTATTTGTACTAGTTTCCTATTATTATTGGTAGTACTTTCCTATTAGTATAGGCATTTTATTGTAGTTTTTTAATTAATGTTTTAAGTAGCCGCATTGTTTGTAAATACGCAATGCAATTGCACCTCATGGCGTGCATCAGCTAATTCCTGGACTAAGGCGAAAAAGGCATTGCCTATGGCGTTGGGAATGTGGAATATCGCGTACGCAATAGGAGGTCGGGGGTAAGAGTATTATTTTTAATTTTATAATTAATACTCCCTCAGTCCCAAATTGTAAGATACATTTACTATTCACTTGGTCAACATAAATCGTTCTTAATCTTTTAATTTATATATCAAAAGTTTATGAAATTTAAATTATTCTTTGCAGGTTTTGTAGCGGTTTTAATGTAGTTTCTGAATATGAAAATTTTATTTTCTAAAACTAATTTGAGTGTTACAGGGATCAATTTGTTTTATTGTCGGTCAAACATCGTAAATCGTAAAGTATCTTACAAATTGGGACAGAGAGAGTATGTTCTATGGTAATGATCCATATTTCAAACCACTAGATAATGATGATTCGATTTTTCAGTCATCAATCTAACAAACTTAAAATTTAAATATGTTAGGAATTTTGTTTGAGGAACGGTTCAGAATTTTTTGCTATTATGTAGTTTGAACTTTGAACATATTACTTTGCTAAGAATATAGCTTGATTGGCTTCATTATAATTTATTTTAATACCTCCTCCGTCCCAAAATGATTTACAAAGTAAACTTTTTTTTGTCAAACGGTTTCATTTTATTCACTTAGTTAGGATATCAATTTGTAAATGTATTCTAATTTGGATTTTGCAACTTTATAGAGATTTTAATTTAGTTCTGAATATATAAATTTTAACTGTTAAAATTGTATTAATTATCAATAGGGAGGATTTAAATTAACATTGGTTGACCAAAAAATGTTCACTTTGCAAATCCATTTGGGACAGAGAAAGTATGGTATTTGATGACTTTTGAATTTTGGTGAATAAGATGTTTTATTTTTTTACTGAACTGATATATGTGTATATATACATTGATAGGAACCAGATTTTGGAAACGATAAGTAGAGTTGATACGAAGTATTGAAACAGAAATACAATATAGACTCTTCAAGAAGCTTCACTCTCCCAATTCCCAATCCCAAATTTCTGCCTGCCAATCTTCTCACCACTCACCCTTATTTATTCTATTTCTAATGGGCCAGCCAACTTATATTAAATTATAAGGCCTAAAACCCTATTATTGACAATATTAAGAGTACTTCATAAAACTCTTATTATTGGTAGTGTCCGGGTCCCTAACATCATTCCTCCCTTAAACTTCCACCTTGTTCTCAAGGTGGATGATAAGAGATCGATCTAGTTCATATAGCTGATTTTATGTTCCCTTCTCTTCTTCTGGCTCCTTCCATCAAGATAAATTGATAATGTTTCATTCCACAAGCATGTTCTTTGTTCCATTTGTTTCCACATTTGAAGCATAGGCCCTTCTTGCTTCTTTCTTCTAACTCTGCTTGTGTCAACTTTTGGCCTCCATCCCATATTTGGTTCAGTTTTGGTGCTTTGTTTTAATATTGGCAGAAACCTTCTCAGTTCTCACTTAGGTTGGTATTATTTTGGTCATTTCTCCACCAGTTCCCTTCTATCAGCTGTTGAGGCTTGGATACAGTCCCCCCTTTTTCTTTACATACTCCCTTATCTTCCTCCTTGCTTCCTCTTATTCTCAGAGCAGCATTCTTTTCTTCCAGTAATAAAGCACACAGTCCATCAGCTCGGTCAAACTCTGTGCAGGATACAGTTTGAGTTCTGCTTTGATCTCCACCTTTAGGCCATTGAAAAAATGCCTTTAAGCATTTCATTGTCAATGTTATTTTTTATTTTTTATTTTTTATATTTTATTTTTATTTTTTTATTTTTTTTTATTTTTTATTTTTTATTTATTTTTTCTTTTATATTTTTTTTGTTGTTTTTTATTATTCTTTTTATATTTTTTATTATTTTTTTATCTTCTAGCTTTTTATGCTCTTTTATCTTTTTATCTTTTATCTTTCTTATATTCTCTTATGTTATTGTTATTCTATATTTATTTATCTTTATTTTATTCGTTTTAGCTTACTTTTTTGGTTCTTCTTGTTTGTCTTCTTTGTTTGGCGTCAATATCATAGATTGATTCATGTTAGCCGACCCCAAATTCTTTTGGGATTAAGGCTTGGATGTTGTTGTTGTATTTCGTGTCTGATCCTATCTACTTCAAGCTAAGAATAGGACCGCAGGGATCTTGCACCATTCCCAGTTGGAACCGTCGAATCACAACTTCCTTAAAATTTTCCCAGGAACGTTCATTGGTCCGTTCCTCCCACCATTGGTACAAGTTTAAAGCTTTCTCTTCCATTGCCACTACCACCATCTCTATTTTCTCAGTCTCCTTAACTTGATTCAACGGGAAAAACCTTTCCACCCTAATGATCCACCCATGGGCATCTTCCCCGTTAAAAACAGGTAAGTCAACTTTCCTTCCTGTACGAGCATAACACCTATGTACTGCAGGTTCCGGAGTAAAGGATGAAGCGCGAGAACTGTTAGAATGACCTCTGGTATGCGATGAGTCCGCACTTTCCTCTCGGCGATGATGTTTAGACACCCATGACCTTCCTCTTCTCTTATGGCGATCTCAGTGTAGCATCAGATTCTTCAGTTCGGCCACCGTCTTGCGCAAGCCAAGCAGTTCGTTCACGGCAGTCTTCACTTCCGCTAAGGTGTTTTCTAGGTTTTCCACATGTTGCTCCATTCTCGATCGAGTCAAGACCATGTGCAGGTATAGCGATAGTCACTCGCTCTGATACCAATGATAGGAACCAGATTTTGGAAATGAAAAATAGAGTTGATACGAAGTACCAAAACGGAAATACAATAGAGACTCTTTTTTTGGTAGAAACATAGGAGCATTAGCTCCTACCTATTCTTAATGATCAAACAAGGCTGGGAAATCCCAAGCAAGTCATACAAAATGTGTAATGATAATCTAGAGTCAACATTAGAAATAGAGTGAACGTCAATAGGTAATGTATGACCTAGGCTAGCTAAAAAGTCTGCTGCCCGGTTACCCTCCGGATAAACATGCTCAACTCTGACCGTCCAATTTCGATTTAAAAGATCGCGAAACTGTGCAACCTTAGAAGAATGCTGGTGAGCACGCACACCTTCTTCCCTCAAAAGTTGAATAGTTGTCTGCGAGTCCGACTGCACTCGTATGTGGCGATACAAACTCTCAAGCAAAATGTAATCCTTGTACAACAGCTCTCATTTTAGCCCTGATGATAGAGCAAAAACCTAGGTTCATCGAGTACGTTGTTAAGCAGCGGTCATCGGAATCACGGAACAACCCTCCTACAGCTGCTCGTCTGGTCTCAGGAATAACTGACCCGTCAGAATTTAGAGCCACCCACGCGGGTGGCGGCGGCGGCTAAGAGACATCGACCATCATTTTGGTTGGTAGACCGGTATGTGTTGATTGGTCAAGTATCAAAGCCTCTTCAATAGATTCAGCCCAATGTCGGATACGTTGAGCAAGGGACTCAGGGGTGGTCCGGATATCAGTAAAAATATCCTCATTTCTGGCCTTCCAGAGAGACCAGCAGGCAACTCCAAAAAGAAGACTATTGCTCGTTGCCTTCAGGTGGTGTGTGATCCAAGGCAGAAGTGGGGTCTCCCAGTTCATTCGATCAGCAACAAGATAGGCAAGATGCTTCCAAGTGGTAATCGCAAAAGGACACTCACGTAGCACATGCAGAACTGTTTCCTGGTGTTGATTACAGCGTGAACAGACGCCATCTGCTGCCATATGTCTACGTCTTCTTTCCTCATCAGTTAGTAGTTGGTTGTGTGCCACGAGCCAAAGGAAATGTCTAATACGATTGGGGCCACGCCAACGCCAGACCACTCTCCAGTCCGGTTCTTCTTCTCTGTTAATCTGTCCACCAAGTAGGGCGTATGCTGACCAAATTCTCAAGCGGCCATCCTTTTCACAACCCCAAACAAGAGTATCGTCTCCACTTCCAGGGCGAGGGGGGACATACCTGCAATATGCAACACTAGATTTTCTGGGATCAAGGAATGAAGAAGGGGGAAATCCCACTCACCAGAAGCTATGCACAACTGTGACACGGGGGCAGAGAAGTCTGGTTCTGAAACAAAAGGAAGAATATGGTCGATAAGTTTCTCGCCCAAGTTCCATCGTAAGTAGGGTTGTCACGATCCCACGCCAAAATGCCAAATCACTGATTTGGAAAAGGAATGTCGCGGCCGAAATCTTGTTTCTGTCTCTCGATTGTACTTAAATTGAAGCACCTGCACCCACAATTCATCTGGTTTGGTAAGGAATTGAAAACCCAATTTTCTCATATACGCCTGATTATGCTGTCTAGCTGAGCAAAGCCCCAAACCACCCTGTTATTTTGGTTGACAGATGGCATCCCAAGAGAGGAGGTGAATTTTCCTCTCCTCCGCGGTGGTACTCCAAACAAAATTCCTGATTCTTTTATCAATTTCACTGCAAATATGACTGGGGAGCACCGAAGTTTGCATAACATAAGCAGGAATCGCAGATAACACAGATTGGGCAAGAGTAACCCGTCCAGCAAGAGCAAGTGTCAAAGCTTTCCAACCAGCAAGCTTCTGGTCCATGCGATCCAGTATGGTCTAGTACGTACCATTAGTCACCCTTTCATGGAGTACTGGAACCCCCAAATATCTACCCAAGTTTTGCGTAGTCGGCATGCCAAGAGAGGAAGCAATGCGAGCTGCATCAAGCCTGGGGACAGTCTTGGAGAAAAAACCACTGACTTTTCCTTGCTAACAGATTGACCAAACGCTGAACAAAAATCATCCAGGCAACGGTTAATGACACAAGCCTGCGCCTCTGACCCCTCACCGAATAGTATAAGATCATCTGCAAAGAAAATATGGGAGAGAGTCGGTCCGTCTCGGGCTAGCATGATTGGCCTCCACTCACCATTCGCCACTGCAGCATTAATGAGGTGGCTAAGTCGTTCAATACAAAGGGTGAATAAAAAAGGGGACAGCGGGCACCCTTGCCTGAGACCTCTGGTCGGTCGAAATTCCTCAGTCATTTCACCATTCCATAGGACCTGAAACCGATTTGTAGAAACACAAGCCATGATAAGAGAGATAATATGTGCCGGAATACTTGTGGAAGATAGAATTTCAGCCAAAAAATCCCAAAGAATGCAGTCATAGGCCTTAGCGAGATCAATTTTGAGAACCATGCGTCGAGTTCTTCCCCGGTCATTTTCCATGGAGTGGACGACTTCTTGGATGATGATGATGTTGTCAGTGATGTGTCGCCCAGGGACAAAACTGGATTGTGTGGGGTGGACCCAACCCCGCATATGATGCTTCAAACGGGAAGTGAGAAGCTTAGTAATAATTTTATAAGCAACATTACTAAGACTAATTGGCCGAAAATGCTTCATTGACTCCGGTCGTGGCACTTTAGGGATCACCACCAAAAGGGTGTCATTGACCATTGCCACATGAAAAGGGTTTTTAAAGCAATCAATAACAAACATAATCATTGATTCACCAACCTGATCCCAGCATATTTGGAAGAAGATTGGTTGGAAGCCATCCTTTCCCGGGGCTTTCAAACTCCCCATATACATAACAGCTTGTTTGACTTCATCAGGAGATGGAAGGAGTAGGAGGCGTCGTTGTACATCGGTCGAGATGGGGGTGAAGCCATTAGGAAGCTGGGCACCTAAGGTCCCAACGTCGTGGAAAAGATTAATAAAATAATCACGGGCCATGCAAAGAAGAGCTTGTTTGTCCTCCACCCAATTCCCTGTTGTGTCTTAAGAGCAAGAACTTTGTTATTACGCCTACGCTCGAGAGTAAGGAGGTGAAAGAACTGAGTGTTACGATCACCATCTACAATCCACTGAGAAGTGGATTTCTGCTTCCAGAGAAGTGACTCTTGCCAAAGTGTGGTTTCCAGCTCATGCCGAGTATCTTCTTCACGGAGACGGGAGAGGGCCGATACACCACGTGAATTAAAGTCCTCTAACTCGAACAATTGCTCAATCAATGTCACTTTCCGGATATGAATGAAACCAAACACATCCCTGTTCCATCGTTGAAGCTTCCCACCCAGAGAATGAAGTGCATTATATAGCGGCATGTCTCGCCGCCAAGAGGATGCAATGACCCGTGGAAAATCATCATGTGATAGCCAAGGAGCAAGAAACCGAAATGGACGTTTACCAGTGTGAGGTGGGGTTATACCAGAAGTGGATAACAAGATAGGGCGATGATCGGACCGCACACGAGGAAGATGTTGCACCAAGGAGTGCGAGAAATGAGTGAGCCAATTTTGAGAACCCAGCGCCCGATCCAAACGTTCACAAAGGGACCCACGATACCAAGTGAATCCAGGGCCGATGAAACCCAAGTCCATGAGATGACACAAATCGATGCAATTCCGAAAGGGTGTCGCACGAGTCGGGTCAAACTCCGCACCCCCAATCTTCTCCTCTACTGAAAGGACGACGTTAAAATCCAACATTGCTACACATGGTAATGTTTCAGTTCGTGCAATCACTCGGAGGGTGTCCCAGAGAAAAGTGTCCCCCAAAGGTTGTGGACAAGCGTAAACAGCTGTGAAGGCAAATTGCCTACCCTCGTGAGCTGTCACACTCACATGAGCAGTTTGATCAGTGATTGCCCTCTCTTCCACCGTGAATAGTGATGAGTTCCAAAGAAACCAAATACCTCCGGAAAAACCACGAGCTTCCGAGATAATTCTGCCATCAAAACCAAGTTGATTAATAATACGCTGGCCAATGACTCCGCTGATACGGGGTTCAAAGATAACAGCAATCTGCGTTCAATAACGAGACATATAATTTCTAAAACTAGGAAGAAAATCATCATGTTTTGCCCCACGACAATTCCAAGTAAATATTGTACACATCATAAAAATAAATATGTAAGGGTCTTCCCTGGTTAAGAGGAGGTATCCATGGGGCGCTCCCCCTGAGCATTCCCAGGGGTTACACACATCGAATCAGAAGTAGATGAATCAATACATACTGGCAACGGTTTCGAAGGCATGTCTGGAGACATTGTGTTTGAGGTATGCATATGAGCATCCATGGTGGTTGAAGGTGTGGCAGTAGAAGCCTCAGACTTACCAAACATGCCATCAACAAGGGACCCCTGTTTAAGTATGGAAAGAGGCACCAAACTATCTGGTTGAGGAAGTTTGGGTAGTGGGGTATTAGCAGGAAATGTCTTCTGTCATGCTCGTGATAACTTACCAGAAAAGTCATCCTTTTTCCCTGAATTCTGAGCATTCTTCCACGGGCGGCCCTTCCTACGAGCAGGATTCGACATAGGAGTAGGCGCGTAAGATGAAATGGGATCAAGTTCAGAGGTAGGCTTCACATTAGGCGGAAATGGAGATTGTTTGTCCGCAGGAGGTGAAGGTTGTATTCCAGACTTAACATGCATTCCAGTTTGCTTCAGGGCCTTAGCAGGTTTACTCTTATTTTTAGCCTTAGGCGTCAGGCCAGACGTCTGAGGAAGAGTGTCGCCAGCAATGGCCGGAGAAAGAGTATTATCAGTAGGATGCCTGAGAAGCACATCAAATCTAGAGCCCGTAGTAGTGTTGGGAGTCTCAACCGTCGTGCTATTGGCATTTTCCCGGCCTGTTTTGCGTTGATCACGATGATCAGGGATCATCCACTCCCCCAAGTCATCAATAGATTGCTCCGGCATATTAGACGAAAGTGAAGTGGTCTGTCTTCGTTTGCAGTGAGGCTTCCGCAAACGAATTTTCAATATGACCGTACCTACCACACTTCACACACAAGTTTTTGAGACTGTCATACCCAATTTTATGTTTGATTCCATCGAGTTCATACGTACCGAGGAGAGGTTTGGAAAGGTCAAGCTCCACACATCCACGTGCAAAGCGTGCCCGCTCACCCGATGCAGTAGCAACATCAATTCAAATTACTTTTCCAACATGACTCGTGATACGTGTAACGGCCATCTCATGGAAGTAATGGATAGGTAATGATGGAAGGTTAATCCATGATAAGATCTTTTGTACCGGTGCATGAACATTAAACTCCGGCATCCATGCCGAAATAACAAGGTAGTAATCAAAGATCTTCCATGGTCCTCCGAAGTTGTCCGAAGATAGTCATCTTTTGATGCAAAGCGGACAGCATAACACCAATTGGTCATATCGAAGACTTGAATTTCTCCTTGCTTTCCCCAAAGAGATTCGAGTCACTTCTTCACCACAGAGAAAGAGAAGTTTCTTTCAAGAACCCTCACTACCAGTGCCTTAGACCATGGTTTGTATAGCTCCCATATCTCCTCCACTGAGAAAACAATTTGTGGGCATCTCGAGTTGGAGTGTGCGTTAGTAGTAGGCTGCACACGGAGGGGTAGCTTGGAAATTTCTTCTTCTGTAGCCACAAACCAGCCGGATTGATTGGTGACAGCGGCACTAAATGACTGGGGCTGCTGTTTTTGCGAAGTAGAAAGCTTGGAATTGGAATATGGATGGTGGTTCAGTTGCAGGTCTAGCAATCCATCGGCAAAATCCAGCCCTGTACCAGCCCTTGCTCTCTTCCGAGGAAATACGAGCACAACATCAGTCTTTGGTCCCAGGCGGCGCTGGAATCGTAGGCTGGACTGCCCGGCTAGGGTCTGTTTGCGGCATCTTCCTCCCCTGCGTTCGGCTGGCAATTGGCCGCAGAAACACCGATGTGCAGGTTGTTGGACGACGGCAAGCCTGGATTGGGACTGTTGAGCCTGCTACCTGGTGCGACGCCAAGAAAGGTTGGGATGGGCGGCCGCCGCAACGGCGGTGCTAGGGTTGACGGCCGTGACTCTAGGCCCTTCTTGTTCGCGACTCTGCTATTCGCGACTCACTTGATAGACTAATACTCTAGCTACACATACAATAGAGACTCTTGGAGAGGCCTCACTCTCCCAATCCCAATCCCAAATTTCTGCCCGCCCATCTTCTCACCACTCACCCTTATTTATTCTATTTCTAATGGGTCAGCCCACTCCTATTAAGTTATAAGGCATAAAATCCTATTGTTGACAATAGTAAAATTACTTCATAAAACTCTTATTATTGGTAGTGTCCGGGTCCCTAACATACATACATACATGTATAAATATATACTTCGTATTTTACGCCTCAAACATATGCCTCATCGCGCAATGAGGCCACACAGTACGCAATTTCGAACCTTGAATAGCCGTAATCTGTGCTACAATAAGTTAAGGGTTACTCTAATTCTAGTCCACCCAAACTCCTGGAACTCTATAAATAGAAGGGTCTCTATTCATTAGCCAGATCATCAATCTTTTGGATTAATAGTTCTTTTCGTGCTTCGGTGGAACGGGCAAACACTTCGTCTAGTGCAGGAACCTGAGGTATTTTTTCAATCACCTAGTTTTTCTATCTACTTTCTTTCTCTACCAATCAGACCCATAACCAAATGATTATCTCCAATAGTCACTTTGCTAAAAATAAAGGTTGTGGCCTGGTGAAATATGACTTTTTTAAAATTACTGACTTGTAAAAAATAAGCACGAACATCCTCAAGTCTAAAAATAAGAAAACAAAAGTATACCTGTTCCAAGATACAAGGAAAGGATCAACTCCCTTCTCCGTGAAAAGCAAAGCACTTGCCGCATATCGCAACAACTTCTGCTTGAGACCAGCTTCGTAAACTAAGCTGTAGAATAAAAGATTATCTGCACTTCCAGACTTCCTCATTTTGTTTATCAGTGTTCAAAGGTGACGCAAACCTTTCCCATATTCCTTCAAATTCTTTTGCCGGAAGAATCCATTCATTAAACGTAGAAAGCTGTCCATCCCCGCTCATTTCTTCACATGGTCCTTCCTCACTAAGCTGACAAATAAAAACCAATACTTCATTATGTAAAAATAGTGAAGTTCCAATGCATTATCCTTTTCACTATTTTACAAATACTTATCTATGAATCTTAAAGCTTGCATGCAATATATGATATCATGAAGCAGCTGGTCATGTTAAATCAAATTGTTTTAAGCTCTTTGGTGCACTTATTGAAGCATTGAGAAATGAGAATGCAAGGAAAACACCTGAAATACATGCACAACAGGTCTAACTTGCCAAAACAAAAGGAAATCACCATGCTCCAACCACGTATCTACAAAATCAGCAAATAGGTGGAAAAACAGTATATTAGTTAGGCACTTAGACAACCATTTATACACAGTCTTCTTTTATTCTAGAGGTTGAACTCTGTATGAAAACATAAACACCTGTGTCACACACACATATCCGCTGCACGTTTTCTGCAAGAAAGGGATCATCCAGTGGCACTGGAATAGGACCATCAACATAGCTCATACTCCTCTTTTCCATCATGCTGCATGCAAAAAAATGATACAAACAAAAGCTCAATGCCTCAGTTTGTCGGAAGCACATATCAAAACAAACCACAAAGTTTAGTCATGAGTGCCACAAGAAATTCTGTGGGTTCACTCTTTCCGCTTCAATAATCAATATATATATATATATATATATATCAACATTAACGAAATCATACAATTTAAGAAAATGCATTAGATGATAACTTAATAAAAAACCTTTGATACTTTACCTGAAGTATCCTCATTAAAAGCCAACATCTCATTTAAGTTACGTTTAAGAAATAGGGTAAACCGGACAGTATAAAAAAGGCATGTTCAGGAAAGTTAATATTCATCAAATTTTATTTATCTTTATTTTATTCGTTTTATCTTACTTTTTTTCTTCCCTTTCTTGTCCATCTTTTCTGTTTGGCATCGATATCATTGATGGATTCATGTTAGCCGACCCCAAATTCTTTTGGGATTAAGGCTTGGATGTTGTTGTTGTTGTACAGATACAACAACAACAACATCCAAGCCTTAGTCCCGAAAGATATTGGGGTCAGCAACAATTTGGAAATAGATGAGCATAGATATATAGGATTATAGGAGGTATCGAATAGCACATTTGTTGTTAACCAAGGTTAAAAATGACTTTTTTGAGGTGCATCTCCTTGTGACTATGTGCTGCGGTGGAAGAAAAACATTGAGGCTTAAGACTCATAATGAAATGAGGCATTTTGTCACTATGGGAGGCTTAAGCCCAGTTTTTTTAAGTTAAAAGATTAAAATTGGCTTGGCTTTTTTAAAATTAAGTTAGTATGAGTCTTTCTGTACATTAGTCACTAAGCCATAATTCCTGTTTTCCAAAATCAACAATTTCCTTCAAACGCTCTGCTTATAAAGTTCACTTATTTCACATAACTAACAAACTGCTGTAAACCCTTGTATGAATTTCTTGCATAGCTATCGAGCTACTACCACTATTCTCCTCCTCTTCTTTCCAAAGAGGTCTAAATTTAATTCGAATAATTACAGAAGTTACAGTCCTCTATCATTTGCAATGGAGCCAAAGATTCATTATTTTTTGGCTTGAGATTATGATGGAATAAAGCAAAATGGCTCACTAAACTGTCTGCGCTTCTTTGTTATGAAGCAGCAGTCTCTCTGTGCTTTAGTACAGAGGTAAGACTGCGTACATCCGACCCCCTCTTACGCCACCATAGGTGGGAGCCTTTGCGGCACTGGGGTAAATGAAAATGAAATGAAAATGAATTACAGAAGTTACAGTGCAACTCGATGTTCGAAATTGTGTATAGCATAGTTGGGGCAGTTTCTAGGGATCATGTATTGCACAATGAGGCATAACCCTCAAATTGCTTTATATAAAAATGCTACTGATAATATTAATAACCAATTTACATAATATAATGAAATAATCATTAAACTTCAACATATTTGTAATCAAAATGAACAATAAATCAATAATAGGTTCATAACCCAATTAAAATAGTAAATTCAAACATCACAAAATAGCCAGTGTTGCCTAACTCTATTGAAGTTTAAAGTTTATTAGACTGGGAAATAAAAACTAGATCATCAATGTTTATTTGTTTGATATAAGGATCAAACCCCAACATCAAATCCTCCATCACAGTCATCATCGTCACCATAACCTTAACACCACCTTTGCAATCACCCTCAGCATCCACATCCATTTTTAACCAAAGAAAAGAAAATATAGCAAGAAAATAACACCTTGCAGAAGACAAGATAATTGACATAATGATTCCATCTTGTTGATGTGCATATCATACTAACATCAAGCAAAATATAACATATTATAAACAGGAAAATTTAAAAGGGCATGCAACTAGAGAAAAGAGAATGAAGATTTGTATAAGAGGAGTTGTAGAAGACTGGCAGAAGGAGGTGATTGCCAAAGAAGAGAGGTGAAGAGTCGGAGAAGATTTCAAAAGAAAATGGGTTATTATTTGAAGTGGGTAAAAGCTTATTTAATTAATAAACCATGAAAATGCAATTGTATATGGCTCAATCCTGCCTCATTGCGTACACCTCAACCCAAAAGGCTTAAGCCTCAACATTGCATAATTTAGGATTCGCCTTAGTGCATATTTGCCTAAAAACCCGCTGAGGCCGGCCTCAAGACCTCAAGATGTAAAGGCATTGCACAATTACGAACATTAGAGTAACTTTATAGTTTTCTTTTTATCCAAAGTGATCCACAGTATTAATATATCCCACATTCCCATCATTTCTTCTCTTTTTCTCATTAAAACTACTTTTTCTGATTTTATTTAGGATAAAACTCTTAAAATACTTTTTAACACTTAATTAAATCTCATTTTCTGTGATATTGAATTAAGGCTCATTTTCTATAAGACTTAATTAAAACTCATATTCTATGTATGACTGATAATACGTCTTTGATTGTTTAGCATTTTTGACTGGTAAAATAAGTTCTGGTTAGCACTCTAACTCGACCCGCTCTGTTTTTCCGAGTTACTCAGCGAGTTTCTTAACTCGGTGACAATTTTGACTCGGTGAGTTACTTGAAAACTACTAAATGCAATTCGTTAAATCTGAAAAGTTTAAACAACAGTAGGATACTATGGAATTTATAAATAATGAGTGAGTATTTTAAAAATTGGAAACATAACAAGCCAACGTTGTACGGACAAATACAAGGAGTCAAAACAGAAGGGAGAAGTGAATGCATCACACTCTAGTATAGACTGCTTGATACTTATTTAGATGACGTGGAAGAGGATGAACTTGTGAGGAATCTGACTAGTAAAGATCTGTTTGGACTTTGGAGAAGATCTATTATTTCATATTCAAGAATTATAAGACTAATACTCCGTAGAATACTAGAATTTAGGGCATTAATATTTTTAGATTAATATAGGTCAAGTAATCGCCATGTAATTATGAGTACTCAGTCCTACTCGCTATTGAGCCCTTGACCTAGTCTTTGCCTCACAAATGCAATGACTTGAAAAGGACTTTTACATATTGATGTTGAGAGCCCGAACTTGACTGATGACGACTATGTCAAGCTAAGCCTTTCTTAATACTACGTAATAAATACTTCATTGATAGATAACAGAGTGGTCAACTCCAGTGGAAGTTCTTTCACTAAGAAAAAGCACCATAACCAAGTTCTTAGCATGCTTTTATAGAACGTAGAGATACCTTTCGACGGCTAAGCGGATATCACCTACTCTGGCTGTACAAGAGGGCTTCAAGCAAACCTCAACTGCAAGACCAACTTTGGGAATCTTAATCCTGGAATCTCATTTTACTTCCGGAAAGCGTAGTTATGCAAGTGCAAAGCATGGTGTGCTTTCAATGTGGGTAGTTCCGCATAAAAGGCAAAATAGTCTACTTGAAAGTCGAGTATAAAGCTACACATTCGAGAAAAGGCAAACGGCGTAAAGAATATAAATGCGATTAAATTAACGAAAGAAATGATAATGGAGAACCTGATACATGGATCTTCTCTTCCTGGGCCATGGGTGGCGGATGAGATTTTGGTGATGGAGGTGGCTCCTGAAGCACTTTGTTGTGCTCGGAACCGTCTCCATCGGGAGCACTCCCCATTGAAACTTCCATAGGAGCACTCATATCGGAGACTTGGATTCGCGCTAAGGAAGAAACGAGCCCCTCGAAAGCGCGGTACGGATATGCAATTTGAATTTGGTGACGAAACCAAGGCCCTCCGGAAGAGCTGGAACAAAGGCCTTCCTTGTCAAAAGTATTAAATAAGTTTAAATGCTTATTTACATCCCCTTAGGCCATCTCCAACAAGCACCAATTTTTACATCAAAATGGTGCATTTGGCAAAAAAAATGCTCCAATAGTCACACCATCTTCAACACCATTTCACCATTTTGGTGGAGTGCCTTTGGCTTTACGCCATATATGGTGTACACCAAATCCAACACCATCTTCTTTTTCTATTTTTTTTTATTTCAAATGTGATCCAAAGTTTTGATTATTATAGTATTGACCCATTTTTAAAACAACAAATTAGGATGTGTTTACTTGGACTAAAATTTGTTGGTCTGATCTGGTCGGATTTAGTCTGGTCTGTTCTGAACTGATTTGGTCTGGTCTGATTTTTTTGTATTTTTATAACTATCCAAGTCTGGCCTAATCTGGTTTGATCTGATCTGAGACAAATTACAATCCAAGTAAAAACATCTATATAGAACAACAAATTAAAATTATTAATTTGATAGAAATAACAAAAATATAATAAAATTTAAATCGCACAATATTATAAATAAAGTTTCAAATCGAAACAACATAATAACAGAATACAAATGATACTTAAGAAAATAACATAATTAAAATTACAATTAATAACACCATTATAATTAGTGAAATATTGATTATTGTATTTTAATTAGTGAAATGCGTGAAAATACATATTAAAATGGTGTATTTTATTTTGCATGTGTGAAATGTCAAAATATTAAATGTGAGGCTAATGTATAAATATATGATAATTAGATACTTAAATAGAAGAATGGTAAAAAGTTAGTAAAAAGAATAAAAAGAAAATATTCCTTTTTGGTGATGAAAATGGTGTAAACTGTTGGAGATAAAATACTGTTTGATGTGATGTTTACACCATTTTAGTGTAAAAAATGGTGTAAACTGTTTGAGATGGCCTTAGCGGATAGTGGGTTAAGTTAGCCGGTTATCAATAGCGGATTCAGTCAGTGGGTTTCACTAGTGGAATAAATTGTGGGTTGCCAAAAGATGTTTGGTAATTGTTAGGAATAAATTATTACTCTGTATTAGATTTTGATGATAGTGCAAAATTTAGGAATTTGAAGTACCTTTGTAAACTAATTGTAGTAGAAATTCTGTTGTAAGTATTAGAATAATCGACTGCCAGAACTAAGTTGTGTTGCCTCCCATATGACCTTTACTTTGTGTATGGAACACTCAAGGCCAAAACTGCTCCTAGAAAGAAGTGCATGTTGTTCATCTACGTCAACAAATTCGCCCCAGTATTGCTCCGCTTCAAACTAACGGGTTATGCTCTAACAGATAGGAGCCTTTCAACGGAAGTAGTACTGTGCAACGCATTGAATGCTCATTTAATGCAACCCACTTGTTGAGATATTAAAAGTGCATGATTGACCGGAGAATCAAAGAGAATAATATTTAATATCTCCCGAAATAGTAAGTTGACAAGAATGTAGGAACCCACCGGTCAAGTCTATAGTACACGCATTTAATGGAGATGTCTTCTACACTCCAACAGGAAGACCTCTGCCAGTATACAAGATACACTTTGAAGAACATGACAACTACGAACTTGGAATTTAACCTAAAAAAAATTGAGAAGCAAAACCTGCACAGTCAACACAAGAATTTCATACGCGAGCTTGGAAGATAATATTTCAAATCCTACATCCATCTCTCAACAAGAGTTCGTCCTAGTTCTTCAATCACTTCGAAATCTTCATCTACATATCTTATACGAAGTACGTTGGAGAAAAATCTTTTAACCCATTCAAAGTTATCTTCTTGTTAAATAAAGACGTCAAAGTAACTGGAATGAAGAGAGGATACTTCCAGGAAGCTCAGTGAACAGATCAGCCATCAAGAAGCAAGGAAGTGCATCTCGGGTGACAAAGGACTAGACTTGAAGAAGACGTCGAGAGCTTCTCAAGTGTTAGGGTCTAAGTGTTTTAACGAATTTTTACAAGCTTAGTGGAACAGTGGACTCGAGGAACGAGATGTTCCTTAAACCACTATAAAAACCCTAGTGTCATTTACTTATTGTTCTTACTTCTTCATCTTGTTCTTTATTATTCGTCTCCAAACGAGCTTAGACTTTGTGTTCAACAGATCTTGCTCTTAGAGAAAACAGAAAGGCATTTTTGCCTAAGTTTATTTTTGTGAGGCAACCCAACCAGAACAATCCGCTGCAGGTCCGTTCTGTTAAAGAACTAGACCAACTTTGTGAGACAGAAGTGTTGTCTCGCAAGAACTCGAAAACCAGAACAGTCTATCCCCCACCCCCTCTATACAGTTTCTCTGTTTAACCGGGACCAACAGTAATTTAGATGTTTGGCCATAAAATTAGTAGAAAATGTCATTTTTCAAAATGCCAACCCAAAACTCTCATATTAGCAGCATTTTTATTTCAACGTTTCCGTCCAAAAATGCTAGTGTTGAAAAATTATTTACCAAATAGGTTTTTAACTTATAGAAAATGTTAAAAGTGGTCAAACCACCATTTTCGGCTGAAATGCCGTTTACCAAACACCCCAGAGTCTAGACGTGTCTAGGCGTGAGGTGACGAAAAAATGCCTCACATATTTGAAATGCGTGGAAAGGTGATCAACTGAAGAGATGATCACCAAATATGGAAAAAGCATAAGTTTAAGCGTGCATAAGCGTAAAAAGGTAGAAGATTTTTAAATAAAATATTTGTTGCATAGAAAAAATTGATTATATTTTACAACAAAAACTACTTGTTCTCGAAACGTAGGGTTTACTTAGGATTTAGAGCTTCTCTCCCTTGCAGAGTGGCTTGCTTGCGTAGGGTTTAGTTTTTCTGTCACATAAGTGTGCAGTCATCTTTTTCCTTGTTACGGGGATGGAAAGACTTGTTTCTTGGCTTTGGATTTCCGATCAATACCTAAGATACAACGGTGATCGGGCGAAACTCTCCATAGCAGTCTTCCTGGTGCTTGGAGCAAGGCTTGTAGCCGTGACGGCGGTTGCTTCGCTCGTGGTATCACTGGCGGTGACTACATGTCATCTGTGGTTAAAATTATGGGCCCAAATTATTAGTGCTGGGGTTTTTGAAAACATGTACAATGAGTTACATTTTTAAGTTGTTTGAAAACATTTTTATGTATGATAGACGTTTATAGTCTTTAAAATTGGATTTTTTCGACTAAAATTTACTGTTTGTGTGCTACTTTTACCGAAACATTACGATGGAAAGGATTTCGACAATGTGTACAGAAGCAATACAACTTTTTAGCCATTTCGGGAACACTTTTTTTCTATGTCATACATTTATTGCCTATAAATTAGATTTTTTTCGTTTGACATCCCCCCCCCCCCCCCCCCCCCCGTGGTGTACATTTAGAGACAGAAATTAGCGGGTGACATTCACAAACTAAAAAACACGAAGACTACATTTAAATGTAATACTATTTGAGGGATTGAAATTTGGAAGTACGATTTTCTTTAATAATAGTAATAATAGTCTGTAACAACTATCAAACCTCAGTATTCATAAAGCTGACAGATAAAAAGCCACATTTGTGACGGTCCGCCGGTAAATTCGTCACTGAACCCATCGGAATGTTATGAGGGCACCTTTCCCGTATCTGATTTTCCGTTGCTGACTGGGCATTTTTTTGTAGTGTCATGCAAAGCATATGATAGAAAAATGAGAAAATAATGGAATAATAAAAATACTCGACTAAAAACACATTTTTGGTCAATGAGAACTAGCTTTTTAAAAGATGAAACAATATAAAAGTAAACAAAATAAAATTTTGGTCCAATACCCGTTTGATCTAGTTAAAACAAGAATATTCTGGTTCAGACCGATATTGGATCAGAATTATGATGTTTTTTATCGAACTCAAAATTTCTGAATCGGTCTGATTTGATATGGTCTAGTATGCGCTAGTCTGGCCTATAGACGTCAATTATGTGTGTACTTTATAACCAATAGAGTATGGGATTGTCTGATCTAATTAAGTTTGGGTTGTTCTGCGACGGAAACCAATTCAATCCAACACATTTGACTCTGATATGATTTTTAGATTTAGTGCTCGTTTAGTGACTTTGTTTTTCGGCTTATCAGGCTTACCGGTCAATTTTTTTAACTAAACACGTAATTTTGATTTCATGCACTGAATTGTGTAATAATAAGAAAATGTAATGTTGAAATTACTTTTGTGACTGTATTAGATGACCATTTTAGTTACTTTCATCTAGTTTTTTCTCTTTTTATTAATAAAATTGATGGAGTATATGGCCCGGGAACCCCCGGCCCACAGACTCCTACTACTCCAATAAAGGCCCAATAGGCCCAGGAAGCACAACAGGCCCAAATCACGGCGCCCAAGATACCAAGCAGCCCACAATCCGCACCAGGGATGCCTTCGGCCCCTGGCCAAAGGCTCTGAACCTCACAGAAGGGCCAAGACAGGAAAACAAAGTTACTGGGAAGAACGGCGAAAATCAGTAGCCCTCGGCAACTGGAGCCCTCGGCACTAAGGGGGTCCCCGATACTCAGAGCCCTCGGCTAGTCATCTACTGCCGAGGGCGCCTTTTCCGACATAATATCCGCTCCACATGCGTATGGATCACCGTACCCAGTACAACGTCTCATCCAACAGCCGCATTAAATGCGGCCACATGCGGTTGCCAGCGCCAACCGGTTGAGGTGACCTCTCGGCCAATGGACGCTTGACACGTGTCCCTGTCCGGCATTTATTGCTACTATAAATAGCACCCCATTTCCCCGTTGTAAATCAGGCTGAAAACGCTGAATACATTTCTAATATACTCTCTCTCTCTCTACTTACTTGCTCTGACTTCTCTCTAGTTATTCCCCGTAATAACCCCTCGGATAAGCTACCCCCCGGGTACACTATCCATCATTTGGTACTCTCGTTGAGAGCTCGAACAATCAAGTAAGAAACCCTCCCCCTCGACCAAACACAAAACACCTAGCTA